TGAGTGCCAGGGCTCACTGGGGTAAGGATCTCTAAGAGTTTCTGAGATGAGGCTGGAGAGTTAGCCTGCTTTGTCATGTATACTGGTCTTTCCCAGATCCTTCTTACCCATGACATTTCTTCTTTAATAATAATTTTTCTGATTTATGTCAGTATAACCAGCGTGTCAATACAAAGAACAAACAAAACCAGCTGAAAAGTCACGTTCACATTCTGGTTTCTTCAATTTTTATTCTGTATTTGCTGTTGCTAGCAGCTGGGTCGAGCCCTTATGGTGTTGGACCTAGGCTGTTCATCTCATCCTGCAGTAGCATGGGGATGTTGGGTGCAGCTGGAGGGTGTTCCAGTAGATCAGAAAGGCCTTGTCCCCACTGAGCTCTTCATTGGTGGCTCTGATTGGCTCCAGGGTGCCCTTCCTTCAGGGACAGGCATAAAAACCTGGAGCAGTGTTTTGTCCTGGTCCCCTCTCTGTCCAGACAAGGGGTTACCCTGAGTGGGCTGGGATGCCCTTGCCTGTTGCAGTGTGTTTCTTATTAATGGTATGTTCTGTTATTGCCCAAGTTGATGGTTTGGCCCGAATGAGACCCAAGTTGTCAATCTACCCTGAGTCTCCTGTCAGTCCTACTTTAGGGGCCCACTACATGCTTGGAATTCTACTTCAGAAATCCCCTAAAATTCAACACTTGATTAGTCCATGTGACCCAATTTCCCTCCCTACCTCCCTCATTGGATGATGATGTTGTGAACCCTGCCTTTTACCTTCCCCAGGATATCTCTGATTAGCTGATGCTTTGTACCCTCCCTTTGAACCGCCTCCCTATTTCAGCTGTTGCACGCTCGCATTTTCTGTCTCTTGCCCCTGAGATTCCCCAGGGCAATAAATCCTCTGTTATCCCATGCAAAAGATCTCCCTGTTTTCCTTGTCTCCCCAGAGCACAGACTGACAGCCAAAAAGCCGTAGAGCAAGTGCTGTAGTCACACCTCTGGTCATCCTGCTCCTGGGGTGTGACCCCCACTCCTGTCGCAGGCCCAAGTGGTGGAGCCAGATGAGCTCTGGCCTGTGTGAAAGCCAGCTTGCCATGGAAAACAGTGCACAGGGAGATGCTGTGAGAGTGGCTGTGGAAGTGGTACCCCTATCAGCACAAACTCTTTTGACCTCAACTGTCAACAGCTGATACAGCAACAAACAGAGGCTTCTCTCCCATTCTAACAAAGATTTTCATGGATTGTTCTTACTGAGGACTCTGGAATATACTGGGAATATTCCAAAACTGATGTTTGTACATGTTCTTGGGAATAGAAGACAGAAGCATTGATTCAGGAAATCTTAAGTGCTACAATATACTCTTTATGAATTCAGTGAGCAGATGGTGCTGTCATTAATACATGATCTTGAGTTTAGTGCAGGGACAAGCAAAAAGAAAAGATGGAAAATGGGGAAAGAAAAAAACCCCAGATTACCTATCTATTCTTTATTGTTGGTGAAGAATTGACCAATTTTCATAAACAGATTAGTAAAAATGAGCAACTCGAAAGCAGAAAAAAGTTTTTAACCTTTTAGTTAATGAAGAGTGGTGTTTGTTTTACTTCAAGTGGGCTTTGTCAGTGAAAATCTTTGACAATCATTTTCCTAATTAATAAGTCTGAGTTCATATAATGGAAATGAAACTGCTTCCTACAGTTTCTGCCTGTGAATATTTTGACTGAGGGAAAGCCTATTCCACATTCATGTTACTTTTTAGAAAATAACAATTTTAAAGCTCTGTGGAGCATTAAAAAGAATTAGAAAGCTTTGTGGAGCCTTAAAATCTTCCACCAACCCCTTGCCCATGCAAATTACTTGTTAAAAATACAGAAACTAAATTAAAATAAGACCTATTCTAACTCGAAGATCTGTATCAGGGGGACCTTAAATTGGGAAATACTGGATCCACTCAAAGTGTCTAGAAGAGCAGAGATCAGTATGCATTTCAGTGCTGAACCATTTACTTCACCTAGTAAAATGAACCATAATTGGACAGATGAGTGGGAAAAGATGATAATGAAGTGCCTGGTTTGATCACACTCTTTCTGTTGTGTATTTTGTCCTGCACACCATGTACACACAAATAACAAGAAAGGAGGGGGTAATTACGGCCTAGAGGGTCGTATTTTGTGGGCACAGTGTGGAAAGCTCTTCGATGCTAATGAGTAATCCAAATAATTTTCTACTTTGCTGGATAAATTTAGACACCTTTTAAATCCAAGTTTGCATTCCTTGACAGGCACAGTACTTGGCAACAGATAAATAGTGCATGAATCACTCACGTTATTTTGACACGTGTGAGACAGATTAGGATGTGGAGGGAAAATTTCTATGAACTAATATATTTGATGCTCCATTGCATTCAAGCAATAGTTAGAAAGACCTTCTAGATGTCTCAGAGTTTGAATTAAAAGCCTGCTCTGAAAATTTCTGCAGTAGGTGGCCTCCATAAATTCACCCTTTTCAATGTCCAAGAGAAGTTGGAATATACCGCAGACAAAGTAATAGTGGCCTGAGTCACCTGTCCCTCTGTTTTTTAAAAATTTCTTTCCTTTATGGAAATGTTGTTCTGAGCTGGTGGGAAAACCTTCTAGTTGTTTTTTGATAGCTATGTCACTTGTCAAATCTTCCCTGATGAGTGTTTCCTCCACTGCTTATCCTGTTGATTGTCTCTGACCTTTTGTCAGTGCTGAATATCATCTCTGACACTTGGAACACTTTCCTGTGTAGCTGTCATCAGCCTTACTAACTTGCCTGCTTTTTTAAATCTGAAAATATATCTGTCTCCTTTGACTAAATTTTTGTAGGAAAGCACATGGATTAGATTCCTAGGCAGAATCTTGAGCTCAGCTGGCACCACTCCTTCACACCTCCTTCATGCCCAAGGTGTATTTTGGCTGTGCATTTTCTTACACAACCACCTCTAGCCTGTTTCAGTGCAAGGTAAATAGTTTGGAAGGCTCCAGCAAGGGCTCTCAGTTGACCAATGTCTTTCTTTTCCTCCATGTGGTCTGAGGAGAGCTGACAGAAGAACCCTGACATGCTCCTACTTGTAAGAGCCCATTGTATACCAGCAGGAGTCATCCTGTTAATACACATTTTTCCAAAAGGCTGTGAAAGGCATGGGGGAGGATAAAATTACATTGTCATGCTGACTACAGATGAAATACAGATGCACAAGGATACACAGTTTTGTTATCACTGGGAAAAGTGTTCAGAATTCAGGTCTGTAGAACAAATTGTTTCGTGGGAGTTGTGTGGCTTTTCCTTTATTTGTAAGTTGTAATGGTTTTGGTAATGCAAAACCAGCACATAAGTGAAAGCCAGCACATTTCCAGCTGACATTACCAGGGGGTGGTTAAGGCCTACGTTCCATTAAGGAGGAGCAGGTTTAGGGGGAGATGTTTAAAGAACAGCTCAGGCAGCCAGTGTTACCAGGTGACCAGGTTACCAGGTGAGCAGTGACTGCTGACCCACTGCAACCAATGCCAGAACTAACACACAGCTACCCCACGCTAGAGTACAGGAGCAGGTGAGCTCCAGCATTTGTGCTGCAATTTCACACCCTTGTTTGCCACAGGACCATGTGTGCATGCCTGAGAGCACCTCTAAGACATCTGAATTTGGTCATTTCCAGAGAAAACAGATTCATTCAGTGTCATATGCGCAGAAATTCAAGTGATATTCTTATTTTTTAATGGAAGCTGGTTTAAACATTTAAATTAAATTTAAATTTATATTCCATTTGAATTGTTGCATCTGTTTTAAATTTTGTTTGGTTAAACCTATTTAGATAGCCATATGTAATAAAAATATTTTTAAACTTCTTTATTAAGCAATGTCAGAACATGAAGTCAAAGCAGTATTCGCCTCCACATCTGTGGATGGATATTCTGCCTCCAAGACAAAACAGTGATAATTTCTCATGTAGCTTGAAGAGTATTTGTGTCACTAAGAATTTTTTAACAGCTTTTGCATAAGCAGACCTTTTGAACAAAAATGTTTGAAAAACAGTGTTACAATCTGAAGGAGAAATAATAACATGTTTTCAAAGCAGTATAATGTTTTAAAAACTGTATTAGCCACACAGAAACTGAAAGGAAAAGTATGTTCTGCATTTATGTATTTTTAAAAAAAATAATTTTTGAGTGGAATTAAAATTCAATTAGCTGTAAAATAAAAAATAAATCAGAAAAAAACATACTATTATCTTTTGCCCATGAGCCAGTTCCCAGAGAACTCACTGAACTCTCTCTTACGTTATATTGTGAAGAGATTAAAACATGAAATGCAAGGAAAGGCTGTCATTACAGATGAGCTAGATAAGTGTCTGTTCCTCTATTTCCCATTAGAGATAATGGCTTTATCACCTCTCCCTTCTCAGCACTTTCTTCTACCCTTAAAATATAAACCACATTTTGTGCAAGATTTTACATAATTTAAAATTATCATGTTAAATACAGAACATTATTCTTGTATTTATATTTAAAGTTCTCTAATTCTCATTCATTTATGAAATAGAGCTTCTGTCTTCAATAACTTTTTTCTCTTTCAACAGTAACAGCTGGTAGAAAAAGGGATGTTATTGCTTTTCACAAACTCAGTCACACTTCTAACATTGAAAATGTTTTGGAAATTAGTTTCATCTTTCTTTGGTGCTCTGTATAATAGACCTAACACTTTCCTAGTTGAATATTCAAAACTAATCTGGAGCCTTTCCTTTTCCATCTTGGAGAAATACATTTGTTTATAAGCATAGACAACTTTTTGAGACTGGAATCTTGAGAAGGAAAGATTGGATTTGTGATGGACCCAATATGATGTTTTGAATAAGGAGATAAGATAAGCAAGGATACACACTGTCTATGCACTATGGTAGACTTTAAGCCTCTTATGTTGGCAGTGCAATTATACCAATTTGACTTTAATTTTTAAAAGATTTATCTGGTTTATGTTTGTTTGGGTTTTTTTTTCAGCTGTCTGGAGCCCATCTATCATCACCTGAGCCTGACACCACTGGCACCCCGTACAAGTCTTGGTGCCACCCCTGGAGGATGTGATGTCTGACATACGAGCAATGTCTTCTATAAATTCTCCTGGGAGGAAAGTCCCTTACCATCCTGCCAGCAAATGCACCTGAATTTGCATGGCACAAATACATCCCATGGACCCCATTGCTTGGAGCTGACTCCCACATCACATTCACCTGTGTGAATCATGGGTTCCTGTCCCTCAGGGTGAAGGTGCAGCTGGGGAAGGTGCAGGACATCTATCTGCACTTTCTATTGAAAAACATACACCTGTATTTTTCTTCCTTGTCTAACTTCCATTCCCATTTTCAAAAATGCTGTTAGTTACAGTTTAAGGGAATAAATGAAATTAAAAGTTTGGATAGAAGGGATTGTTTTTATGTAGTATAGTAGGAAAGGAAGTAGCAGCATGCCAAACACCTCCCAGAATGAATGTATTTCTATTATCTGTACCAAGTAATTTGAGGTGAAAGTCAGCAAAGACCTCAGGGCTCTGTTAAAGCTCTTGGATATATGCTACAAAATCTCTCATGTCCTGAAAGTGGGGAAGATTGTGAGGCTCTCAAACTAACATGGATTTTTTATTAGACTTTTGGGTTGTCCATGTGGGTGGTGTGGGTTTCTTTGGCACAATGAAAGAAGAAGTCCTAATGATTTAATTGAGTAACCTGTCCTACAGGAAGTCTGTGCTGGTGGAGGAGAAGTGGAATTACCAGGCATCAGATAGAAAGAGCACCCTGATGAAGTTTGCATGTATAAGCCCAGTTTCCAGGAGTATTTATGCAGCACATAGTACAGGGATTGCTGCAGGCAGAAGGAAATTGAATGTACAAGTTAATCACAGTTTGCATTACTGGGAAGATGAATGAACTCTCATAATTCGTGAAATGTTTTTTCTTCAAGTTTTCAGCTTCACTAGGATCAGTAAGGTTTGTTGTATGAATTTAATTAACATGAAATCTAAATATATCACTTGGGTTAGGAAATAATTATTAGGAACAACTCTACATTATCACTTATGTCTGAGTGCCCTGAAAGGAGGAACAGAGGGACTCTGATTCTCAAGTGGCTATAATTGCTCTATCTACATTGATATGAACTTTCTACAAGCACTCAGTTTCTGGAATTTTAAGTTATCTTGTCTTAAAAATGAACATACCTAGGAGCATAATAGTAAAATTCAGCAAAAATTCCTAGTGGTGATAGACTGTCTTATTTCAGAAGAACACGTTAGGACTCAGACTAACATTTTTTTTGAGATTTTCTGCAGTTCTGTCCCTCAAATGTCTCTCAGAAAATCAATAATTTTCTTTAAAGAAAATAGGTCTCAAACAGCAAGTGTCTCCCTAGGGAGCCAATTAGATGAGTAAAAAGGTCTTTCCAAAGTGTGGCAATCCTGGTTTTATTATGCTTTCGATTTTTAGGATCTCATAGTTTTCTTCTTCGGGTTTACATGATTCTGAGCTAGACAGCTTGATGCAAATTAGAAGATGAAATTTGCAGAATATGGTAAGCATACATTGGACATCTGCTGATGAAAGCTTTCTGCAAACACCATTAAACACTCCAGCATCCACTGCTCGGCAGAAGGGAGTGGTGACCTTCCATCCCTGCTTCCCAGTTATTGGGATAGAACAGCAAGGCTGTACAAAATAGGTGATAGCACTGCATGAATCTCTATTCATGCTGAGTGGACTTGCTTGTTAGAGAGGATATTTGTGCTCTCACCATGGCTATTGAAAGGAAGGCCATAACCACTTGCAGTTACAGAAGCACTAGTATTTTTTGCTGGAAAGAGCAGAATGCTGTTTCCGGTGTCTGCTCCAAATTTCAGATTAAGGAGTTCTCAGCTGAAAGGCTGAAGTTTTGTGCTTTCACTTGCATGGTTTATCCACTGAATAGGATCAGCAAGCTGTGTGGGTATACAGGTTGTGCTTGCAGTCTTTCTCTGAATGATGAAGAGAGCTCGGGGCTGCTTGGAGTCTGATTCATTGACTGCTTTGTTTATGGACTTCACTGGAGCTGTGCTTACAGGAAAGAGGTAGAACTTAGGATGTAAACTACTTATGGATCTGTTGGGCCAAGAGGCAGTGTGTAAATGTTGGACCATCACAGCTGTTCTCTATATGTAAAGCTTGATTAAACCACTAATGCACACCAAAAATAGAACCACCAAACTAAAATCATGCCTCTCAAGCTAAGCTGCTTAATTCAATTAACGCTTACTTTGATGTATCTGAAGAGCCAAAACATTTTCAGAAGTTTTGTTTGGTGAATTATTCCCCAAATTCAATACTTTCTCTGCAGACTACTTTAAAAAAAATATAAATTTTTCTCAGTGGATCATTCCCAAATAACTTTTTGATCCTTGATATTTATCATCTGAGCTGTGCCACTTGTTATTATTAGTTAGAGTCATAAGGTTCATTTTCATTACTTGGCTTGTTCAAAGACAAACCTAACTTGTAGACATCTTGGAGCTTGCTTTCCTTTAATATTCTGTAAGCTTTTCTTCATAGTCATTAATTGGGAAGTCACAGATATTGCTAACAAATATTTATCTGTAAAATTAACAAAAAAAAATCAACTTAAGCCAGGCAAAATCAACACCAGGGTCAGGCAAACTCAACAATCCATTTATCCAGTTTACAGATGTAGACAAACATTAGCCCCCTACTCCACCATTACATCTCTAGCTGCAATATCACTCTGCAGTGTAGCATACTGAAATCACTTTTAAAATGTTCCTTTCGGCAGTTTTTGAACATGAAATTAGATGAAAGGCCTTCCAGAGTAAACAGGAAAAGAATGAAAAAAATGTCAGTAATCAGAAGGGTTGAAATGGCCCTTTATTAAAAAGCAGTACAGAACAGGTACTTTAATTGTAAATTGTAAATGGACATACTGACTGTCAAATTGTATATATTGCCTATGTAGAGACAAAAGGGATGCAGAGAAAGTTGAGAGGAACTTAGAAAAACTGTTGCTATAAACTTTCTAGATTAAGTTATGAGAGATACAATGTTGCATCCCATCATAATCTTAATTCAAGTCCCTCTTTAGCACCTCAGAATTTTCCTATTTTAGTACCTCACGTTCATCTAGAGGGATCCCTTAAAAAAAAACAGGTCATAATATGATTTTAATGACTCAGAACATCCTGCCTCTGAAAATTACTTAGACCTTGGAAAGACTAGCAACTTTATATAAGCGGTCAGTGCAACCTGTACTAAAAATACTAATATGATCCTTGGGCCTAAATAGATAAGCAGTGAGGTGATTTTTATGCTAGGACTGAAATACTGACTATAATCTTTCTGTCATCATTATAAAAGGACTTGGAAAATCTAGAGAGAAGGCCGGAAGAAGAAAAAAAAAAAAGCCACGTATTTCTGGGATCCAGGGGAAATGCCTCTGACAGTGGAGAGTTCTGTCTGCTAAAGGCAGTGAACTGTGATTCCTTCTTTGGGGTGTATAAATGTTTTCACTTAAGAAGATATAAGGATCTAAAATGCTACTTATTATGGTCTACAAAGACATTCTGTGGCAACTCATGGCTGGAGCCTGCAAGTTGAAAAACTCAGAACAGAACTTGAGCAGAATGAGAAATCCAAGTTTGACTGTGACAATGTTCAACTGGTAAAGCAAAGGAGCACTAAAGACATGTTGGTATACAATATATTTTCTGAGGAAAGCTGATGGACCACTGGACAACAGCTTTAATCACAATAATTAAAATAGGTGAAAGGAAAATGACTGTAAAGAAATTTAGGATATGTGCTTCCTAGATCATACTTACTTTGAAGTATTGATTTTCAAGCTGCTTATAGAAATATTGTCCTTTGCTGCAAACTAACTCATTGTTTATTGTAATTTGGTCAGTCTTGTTTCTTTATCAACATAAATATTATTATGAGCAATACAGATCCCATAAAGTGTTTTTGCATTGTGAGGCATCAAACTGAACTTTACAAAACTCAAGAGAAAAAGATGTTATCAGTAAAAAAGTGGATTTTTCTATTTCCTTCAGAAGTCAGTTTGCTAATAACAGAAGCTCATTTAACAGTGATGAAAGAAGGTTAAGTAGCTGAAAAACTCCTTCAGGTCAGAGTTTTAGCTAGAGCCATACGGCAGTTAGCAATAAATCAGTTATTACTTTCCCTCTGGTACTCTTACACAAAGCAATAACTTGGACCAAATTAAAAGCCATTCAGGTGTCCATGAGTAGAAAAGTTGCAGCCACTCTCATTCATCATTTTCACCCTGCAGACACCTCAAGTGTTTCCAGTAAGGACTGCATGAAGTGAAGTAATTGCCCTGAAGTTCCTGGGGCTAAGGTGTCTGTACAGGAAAAGTGCTCATCTGTTCCCATGTTTGTAGGTAGGAAAGAGCATGTCCCCACACTACTGACCATCCTCTCCATTGCCACTGACTTCACTGACAGAAGGTTTATTCCAAGAATTCTCTGAAATCTTAGTGCTGTAGACCAAGTGTGGGTCACCATGGGCTTAATTTTCTAAGTGTGATTAACTATCTGGCAGGCAGGATGTGAAATGTTACACCAAGCTGTTTGATCCATTTTTGCCCTGCTGCCAAGAGGTTCAGCCAGGTCTGTGGCAGCAATCCTATAAGCTGGAGTAATTGATAAGAATATTCTACAGAGTTTCATGCACTCACTAGGTTCCAAGCAAGAACACTGTTTTAGTTTTTTGATTTTTTTTGTTTGTTTGGGTTTTTTATTTGTTTGATTTTTTTTTTTCCTTTTAAAAGGGGAAAAACCATCTCCAAACAACCCAGAAGTACAGATTACTATACAGATTAGACAGTGGTCAAGTGTCTTGCAAGTCTTGCAAAGTAGATTAGCAACTGGTATTCTTTCAGCAAGATGACAAGGACTAAAACTTTGCTGGTGCTTTTCTTAGTTTGCAGCAAAGAACTTGGATCCTTAATGTCAACAATTTATGAAATGGAAGGAAGCCACTTAATCAGTGCCAATGGGTCTATTTATTATGCAGCATGTAGAAAGCATCTGTGAATTTTCTCATCATTGCCTTTGAAATTACCTGTTATAAAGTAAGCTGCACAATTACTTCTTAAGGTGATAAAGTGCTCAAGAACTCTCGTTATTCCTGGAAAATGTATCTTAAGAGTCTTCAGTCTTCCAGCAGGTTTTCTCCTATCTCCCACAATTACATTATTAGAAGATCAATTAGCATTTATCAACTGTGTCTCGACATGATACTTTCAAGACTCGTCTAACGGCCGCCACTGCGTCACCTTGATGAAAGTCGTGGTGGTAG